TGTGTGTGTGTGTGTGTGTGTGTGTGTGTGAGAGAGAGAGAGAGAGAGAGAGAGAGAGAGAGAGAGAGAGAGAGAGAGAGAGAGAAAGAGAGAGATTTCCACAACACACACACATACACACACACACGTAGACACACACAGAATCAAGTGTGGCAGTCTATATTTCCATCCCCCATAAGTTGCCATATATGTCAAAATGTCCCTAAAACATATGGGCACAGTGGAATGGCCTTTTGGCCTGACATGTTTATGTTATGCCCCTGTCAGGGGGGTGTGCAAATTCCCTTGGCCTTTTGCAATTGCACCTACGAAAACTTGACAACTGTCGGGGCATTTTGCAGAGTTGGGCAGCCTCCGGTAAGGGTACATTGCAAAGATGGGATCCAACTGATGGATGGGGTGTTTCGCAAAATGTTTTTGTCATCGTCCTTCGCCACAGCGCAGCTGCGGCAGGTCCACTTGTTTCAAAAAAGGGAAGAAAAGATATCCGACAACTTCTAGCACAGGTGGGTGTCATTGTGATAAAGCGGCACTTTTTTTCATGGTTAGGGGGGCAGTGTGGCCAACCCCAATTCCTGGGGGCAATGTGGCCAACCCCGATTCCCTGGGTCCACAGTGAAGCCGTCGTATGGTTCAAGAAGGGGTGTTGAGCCCGAGCGGTGGAACGTTTTCAATTTTTTTTTTCAAAAGGCAGCGGTCTCTAGCTATCATCACCCATCGGATCGGCCCCACGTTATTTCAGTCTTTTTTTTTTTTTTTTTTTTTTTCAGTCATATGATCATAGTGTGGTTTTCAGCTCAGGTCTGCGTCTCGAATAGTTCATCAGTGTACCTTTCACTCGCATGGACGATGTGATCGCATATTTATTTCGTTGCCCATACAGTCCGCATTGCTGCCAATTTGTGTGTCAGTTTTTTTTCTGTGCGTGTGTTTTGTGCGGCCTTCAACCTTCTGTCTTGCAAATCCATTTTGCATGTATCACCAAGTTGGCACGACGGCGGCTCCTGTCGCGCCAGTTAACGTAACTCCAGAGCAGATGGGACATATCTGTTGGCGTCAATCACTGTTGACATTCCGAGGATGAACAATACGAAAGGCAGAAGCAGGGCGTCCCTCAGAGCAGCGAGCCATAGAGGGTGCGTGTGGTACTGTTTGTAGTACGTGCTTAGGGAACAGACCGGGTTACAGGGGGAAGAAGTCGAGGAAGTGAACACGAGAGCAGGGTGTGTGGAGGTTGTAGACGACCAAGAGGTGAGGTGAAGTGCCTCTGCGTTCGGCACGTTCCCCCGGCTTTGACCGAGCTGGAATCGACATCGGTGTCCGTTGACCCGATTTGACCGGCGTTCCTGTTTCGTTTGACAGCTGGGGAAGGTCAGACTAAAAAAGAGAGTGGCAGGGTACATTGCTGTCCGCGCCGTGTAAGAGAGAGAGAGAGAGAGAGAGAGAGAGAGAGAGAGAGAGAGAGAGAGAGAGAGAGAGAGAGAAAGCGACATGGTTGAGCGGCGAGGCAATCAACAGAAAGGTGGTTCACGAGGCACATCTCAAAGCCAGAAAGGCTCGCGAGGCCCGTCTCCGAGCCAAAGGTCAGGGGCAGCAAGGAAGGATGGCAAGGCGGCGGAACTAGGGCGGAAAGAGCCGGCGGGTCCAGGTGCAAGTCCGGAGGACTCTGCGCCAGGCCCAGTCGGTGGAACGGCGGAGGCCACCGTGGGCGGCCAATTAAAGGGTCTACCGGCGGGGGTGTCATCAGCTCGGGGAGGACCCTCGAACGCAGGCGAGGCAGGCGGCGGGCAAACCTTCGCCCATCCTAAAGGCGTGGATTCCTTGTCCACAACAACCGCTGCCGCAGGCTTACCGGTAGGTCCGTCAAGGAGACCAGAAACACAACTAGGAACAGCTTCGGGACTGCCACTCGTAGCCTTCCCGCCATCTCAAGTGGTCGTTCCGCCTGGTCCATCTGGCGATGGTGGAGCTGCGCCCGTTGCGCCATCTTTTCCCGCCCTTATGCCCACTAAGCAGCAGAAGTTCTCCATACCCGTCGCTGTGGTTCCTCACGTGGAGGAAGGCTCCGCCTCTGTCTCTTTTGCGTCCGTGAGGGACGATTGGGAGGAAGCCATTGCAGAACCAATCGGGGTATTTCCTCCAACAGAGGCGAAACAAGCGGCGGGTCATCCCCAACCAAACATTGAGCGCGGGGTGGTTTCAACCCAAGCTGCACTTTCCCGTTAGGTCCCGCGAGGCGAGTTGATCACCCCGGCTTTGACCGAGCTGGAATCGACATCGGTGTCCTTTCACCGGATTTAACCGGCGTTCCTGTTTTGTTTGACAACTCGGGAAAGGTCAGACAAGAGAAGAGAGCGGCAGGGTACACTGCTGTCCGCGGCGGGTAAGTAAGGGAGAAGAGAGAGAGAGAGAGAGAGAGAGAGAGAGAGAGAGAGAGAGAGAGAGAGAGAGAGAGAGATGGTTGAGAGGCGAGGCAATCGACGGAAAGGTGGTTCACAAGGCTCATCTCCGAGCCAAAGGTCTGGGGCAGCTAGGAAGAATGGCAATGCGGTGGAACAATGGCGGAAAGAGCCGGCGGGTCCAGGTGCAAGTCCGGAGGACTCCGCGCCAGGCCCAGCCGATGGAACGGCAGAGGGCACCGTGGGCGGCCAATTGAAGGGTCTACCGGCGGGGGTGTCATCAGCTCGGGGAGGACCCTCGGACGCAGGCGAGGCGGGCGGCGGGCAAACCTTCGCCCCTACTA